GGAAAGTAGATTTCTAAAGGAAGGAGAGAAAATTCTAGTTTTCCACAGACTATATCACAATTACAGGCATGCCTGGCATGTCATTTGCCTCTCAGGGCAGAAGGTTGGACTGACTATAACCAGTACATCAGGGTCCACCTTTCTAACTTGTTCCCCATCAGGAGACACTTCTGCAATTCATTAGTTTTACCTGCAGACATATTCATGTACAGAATTCATTTCCTTTGACCTAATTTCTATCTATTTCCCTTCCCCTTGAGTATTTCTCCCTACTCCTTTTTATGGACTCTAAATTTTCATTCATTAGTCATTGCTTAATACATCGATTTCATACAATATGCACAAAATGTGATGATTAAGCCTGAAATATATGGTTGTCTTTTTTCAATTTACCTTCTGTGCATTTTTATTGTCTTCATACCCCTCACAGTTCCCTGAAACTGTATTCAGTTCTAAAGAAACAGAATGACTAAGTTATAATTAATTGGATTAGGGTCACCAGTGATTCTGAATCCAAACAAGACACTTTGCATTTTAATCCCCTCTCCCTGTACTTAACCTAAAAACATTTTTTATTGATCAACACCTAAAAATACATTGGTAAGTGATGGTAGGTATGATAAACAATTTTCTGTAGAAACCCAGCTAGAAGAACTACTTTGAAACCACTTGATAATGTTTACCTGGATAACATCAGGTGTATTTTCCCTCTCTCTCTGCCCGTATTTCCCACCATATTTCCGGCACTATTTGTTATCATTTAGTGGCACGGGAGTCAATGGTACATGCTGAAAGAAGAAATAACCCCCGAATTCTCTCTCTATCATTCTTAAAGTTTTCATTGTTTCTTAAACAAAAGGTGTCAGGTAGTCTTTGTTGAAATGAGAAAATTCCCAGGCACTTTCTAGCTACCGGGAAATGACAATAGGAATGAAGTCTTAAGAGCGCCCACACAATCAGGTCTAAGATTGTAGACAAAGCAATAACTTCACAGAATAAGTCTGGGCCAATTTATTCTCATTAGCCCCATGTCCCCACAACATGGTGATTCAGGCACTCTGAATCACCCTCTCCACATCTTTGAAAAAGGTAGAGATAAAATTCTAGTCCTCAGAAACATTGTTATATATGACCTGAGGATACATTCCAGGATTCCACAGCAATGTTAACATTTACCATACATTTATCAAGTCATCCTATACAGAAAATGCGCTTGTAAAATAACTTTCCAGTGTACTGAGTCCATTTCCTGGGTACTGATTTCATCATTCTCTTGAATCCCATGATGTTATCTCAAGGCTTTTTGTCAATGTATGCACTCTCAATCAAGACTCATAAAGTGGATTTATTATTTATTTATTGGTTTGGGAGATGTTTAAAGCTATTCTTTCTCTCATCTGGATTTTGAGGATTCTCTAGAGGGTCCCTTCCTAGGACCCTCTAATGCCACTCCCCAGATGATTTCTCCTCCTTAACCTCTGGTTTTCTACTGGTTCATTCCTCAGAGACCCTGAAGAATTCCCATTACCCCTGAGGAAGTCCTCTTGGGTCAGAGTCAAATCTACTCTAGGCCAAAGTCTCTATTCTGTGAGGAACACACATGTCTTCTTTGCCTCACACTACTCCCCTGCCCACTCCACACCCCAATAGAGCCCTCAGTACACAGCCCTGAAAAATCCCTACATTATTCCTTGCTGAGCCCGCACAGAGCCTCAAAATACCATTCCACACACATCTTCGGGCATCCTTTTCCTAAGAAGTAGATGAAACCCACCTGATCTTCTGGTCTGGTGGCAACACTCTGGGTTGTGACCCACATTATAATCCCAGAGCTGGCCCTAATGAGTGATGTCACTTTTGACATCCCTGTAAAATAAAATAATAACCCTGCCAAAGAACAAAATGAAACCACCTATAAAACCACTTTAAAAATAAAAAGAGTATAAGACAAATCCAAGTCCAACTGGTATAAAGGAAAAAAATACTGAAAAGTAGATTAGCCCAAATCTCTTCTCCTAGAGGAAAAATAGTGAAACGTTACTGATAGTTGATAAATACCATTTCATAGTTTACTTTCAAAGCATGGACTCTAGAGTTAAGATTGCCTGGAGGTTGATCCTTACACACCACACTACTACAGTAACTTGGGCAAGTAATCTCACCTCTCTAAGCCTCAGTTGCCACATCTGGTAAGTGGGGTGCTAATGGAAACTACCTGACAGGGTTGTTATAAGGGTTAAATAATTCATGGAAAGCTCTTACATGATGTTGAACATAAGGATAGCTCAATAAATGCTGACTTTCATCATTATTATTCATGCCCAATTTAAAAGTAATCTTTATCACCATTCAAAACCCAACTCAAATGTTGCCTCATATACAAGGTAGTCTTTACCCAGTACCTCCAACTTGCTGTTGAGGATTTTTATCATCATAAGAGGAGAGATCACTTTCTCGGTTTCGGTTGGGATTATTTGCTTCTATGGCTATCTTTCCCAGGAGGCTGTTGATGATTTGAGTTCAAGGTTTGAGTTTCATTTATCTTTGCCCTTCTTTTGAAAGCATCCCACCTCCTAGTCTAAATCTGTGGGCCTAACATTTAAGAGAGGTTCAAACAATAAAATAAGACCCACTGAGAAAAAAGTTTCCTCTCAAGTCTCAAAACTGAAGAATACAAACATTAAGGAAAAATAAAATGACTGATTTTGCTATTGCTGTAGTATTTTATTTCATGGGCAAGTTACCTAAGCTCTCTATGTCTCAGTTCCCTTTTCTGAAAAAATACGGATTGTTTTTGTACGTAAGTCCTAAAATTATTGAATGCGTTAGATAAACTAATAAATGCAAAGTGCATAGGACAGTGCCTGGCACATGGTGAATAATAAATGTAAGCTATTGCTTTTGTTATTATAATTGTTGCTTTAAAGGGAATTGTGGCTACCAGTGAGTAAGATGATGATAATATATGAGCCAGAAAAGAGGAGGGAGAAAATTGGAAACAAAAGAAGAGAAGCAGAAGGAGAATGCAAAGACGGAAACAAAAATAGGAGCCAGGAACCAGGCTATTCCATTCCCCATGCAAGAGTCCAAATCTCAAGTGTGTCTCAAGGAAATGTTCTGACATTTTGGAACTCCTGGGGCAAAACGATTCACATAAAAACTTTGCTACTACTGGGTTGTGTTTCATTCTTCGTCTGCTCTTAAAGACAGTCATGTGGAAGAGTTTAATGTCACTGTCTTATTTAAACTCCCACGTGAAATCTGTTTTTGTGTTTAAAAAGCAATACACCAGTTATGTGCCCCATGGACCTTCAAAAAGAAAACAGATGGTGCCATATATAAAACTGAAGACAAAAATGTAAGAAACTGATGTTCTTTCAGAACAGAGTCAAATACACTGGGCTATTAAAAACTATTTTTTCATAGGTTATTAGGTAATGCCTATTAGGTTTTAATAGGTTTAATAGGTGATTATCTTGTAATAACCTATAACAGAATATAATCTGTAAAAAATGAATCATTCTGTACACAATGCAGTATTGTAAATCAACTATATTTCAATAAAAAAAAGATTTTTAAAAACTGAGGAAAGAAAGAGGAATCTTGTGGAAGAGAAAAGATTGAGTAGCAGCTTAACCGTCCTTTTTTTAAAGAGGTTTGGTACCAACTGATTTCATTTCCACTCAAGAAAATTTAAGAAAAATGTGGATTTAAGAAATGCTTGGGGAACTGAATCAATACCTTACATTAGCACAAGAGAATGACAAATGTTCCTCATAAATCAGCAAATATGCCATTCCTTGAGGTTAAATGATTTAATTTATCAAATCAAACATGCAAGAAGGGATTGTGAAGTTTTAAATATGCATTTTTAAATGTATCTTTCTTCATTACCTATTCTGCATCAATCACAGCTAATGTCAGAACTATCATAGTTCTGGTTATAGACCGTTAGTTTTTGCAGATTCAAATAAGAATATCTCATAAGAACTGAGTTGCCAAAGTTTGGCTTAAAAGTTATTCACGATGCGCGAAAGCTGGTGTTTGGGGAAATAGGTCAAAAATTGTTTCTTTAGGGCTTCCCTGGTGGTGCAGTGGTTGAGAGTCCGCCTGCCGATGCAGGGGACACGGGTTCGTGCCCCGGTCCGGGAAGATCCCACATGTCGCGGAGCGGCTGGGCCCATGAGCCATGGCCGCTGGCTGAGCCTGCGCGTCAGGAGCCTGTGCTCCGCAATGGGAGAGGCCAATGGTGCTGGGGTAGAATTACTTGGGCATGCCTGTCATTCCACCAGCCCTCTTCTAGAAATAGCTGAAAAGAGAGCAGCAGGGACAAAGTGGCAACAGACAGACACAGCAAGAGGGAGAGTTATAGAAGCAGAGATAGAGGGGAAAATGGAAAGAGAGGAAGAGACAGAGGCACAGAACAGAGAAACAGAGGCAGAGGGAGGGAGAAGCTGTCTTACTTGCTCATGGCATCACCTCCCATAGAGCATGGCACTCTTCTGTTTCTGTGAGATCTCTGTATCCATACCAGAAACCCTCTTTTTCATTCATGCTAGTTTGAATGGATAGATATCTTGTCAAGGAAAGAATTTTGACTAGAACAGTTATCAAATGCTTTTCCATTTATTGCTTGGGGAAACCGCCCAAGTCTTAAAAGTGTTAATTACTTAAGAGGATAATGATGTGGAACTTAAGAACACACATATATATACACAGACATATACTATATATATAACATATATAGTATATATAATTTAAAAATATATCTAATTAAATGAAACATTGTGAATTTTATATATATTTACACACACATACATATACATATTTCCCCTCTAAGAAGCAGAAAATGTTACTGTGAGACTCTCAGGCTTCAAGCTCACATCATGAAAATCATCTATTTGCAAGCTGAAAAACTTCAGTCCTTCAACAAATGCTAAGGTGTTAACACAAACTGCCTCTGGCTTAACTTATAATTAAGTTAAATTCTCCTGAAAGCCTGAAATATATGGACATGTGGCCCTAAGGATTAATCTGACTGAAAAGGATTTTATATGGCCACATAAATATATATCCTTCTCTTTAATGGTTTTAAAAACATGGAAATGGTTCTGCTAATTCTCAGGTTTGTTGACAGTAGCAATAAATACCTGTACCCAGGGTACTTAGAATCCATAATATATAATATGTCATCTGTCAGGTTGCTACTGGCCCTGAAAACACTGTGTAACACAATAAATAAGTCAATTGATAAACATAAATATTTCTCTCCTAGTTGTCTTCATGGAATTTCTGTGTCCTAGAAGGATAATGAAGTCATTCATTAACCCAGTTATTCAATAAGCATTCGTGGAACACTTTATATGTATCAGGACTGGGTACACTGTTTAACACAAGAAATAAAAAGAAAATAAAAAATGGATAATATTGAGAAAGTTCCAAATCAGAGGCTTTGGTGTTTTGCCTCCAAATATAAGATATTGATTCTGTCACAGGTAAGCAGATTACCTCACCAAAAACAACAAATAAAAAACGTTTGTATACAATTCAACATACATTCTGTGCTATCTACCCTGTGTCTATTAATCTTGATGGTCTTGTGGGAAATATTTTTTAAATTCTTATTTTTGCAAAGCATTTAACAAAGTTTCATATTCCATCTTGTGATGAAAATAGAAAAATATGGGTTAGATATCTTACATTGAATCCTATTTTTAGAGTGAACGATTCAACAAATATTTGTTTTCCTATTACTGTGCACTTGCTGTTGTGAAATTATCCAGAAGAAAAAGACTAAATCCTGGCTGTCAATGAGTTTATAATCTGTCATAGGAGGGAGACAGCTATGATCAGAGTACAATGTAGCAAGTAACAGCGGCATAAAAATGTGCAGACAAATTGCACTGGAACCTCAGAGGGAGGATAAATCATTCCGGACGGTCAAGGAAGACTAGGCATTTAGTATTTAGATTCACTTTTATAGGAGAGGAGAATTTCAACAGATAGAGATATGAATACAAAGTATTCCAGCCAAAGGGAATACATGTAGAAATCCTATATGGAGGGGAGAACAGTTCAATTTGACTGCAGACCAGCCATATCATCATTATTATGGAGAAGCCTAAACATTGGAAATTTGAACTTGATACTTTAGGCCTGAGAATCAGTAAGGATTTTGTATTGGGGAAAGGCAAATGGTGCTCAGGTATATTGGTATTGGCTTGGAGAGGAGTTCTTGCTGGCACTTTTTTCATGTCTTGAATGGAGATATAAAAGGCCTGCTGCCAGAAGAGGAAACTGTGGTTAGGGGAGGTTAACAACCCATGGCGGGTTACAAAAGTAATTAATAGCAATTTGAACTGGGACATACACCCAATCCATTTACCATAGTGCAGTGATATGTACCCTGCTACACCGAATCCACAGCAAGCCATTATGAGGCCAAGCTGGAAGAGGCAGTATCTCTATTTTACTGATGAAAATTTTAAGAACTACACAGATCAAGCCACTAGCTCCGCTCACACAAGTAAGCAGGACAGATGGGAATACAACCTGCACTCAGTAGTCCTCAGGACACCTTATTTTCACATTCTCCCACCATGAGCTAGATAACTACACTCCCCTGGCATTCTTCCAAAATTGAAGAAATGTCAAAATTGGGGAAGAAGGACATGGGCAGCCTAAAGTGCTTTTTTTTTTTTGCCTCTGTCCTTCCCCTGACCTTTATAAAGACAATTCAGACTTACAGTTGTTCTGCAAGAGCTTGTCCAGGGAATCACGCCACTGCAGGGCCTTGTCCAATGAGGGTCTAAATCAAGTATTAAGAAAGAAAAAGGAGATAGCTATAAGAAGGAAGTTAATCACATACACCAACAATGACTTGGATTTGCTTTTCTTTGAAATGTTACAATTGATGACCCATTCTCAGGACAAGGGAGTTAGAGCTGTTTTATTCTGAACAAGTGGGTATGATGAGCTGGGTTTGCTTGCCTACATCTATCTTGCATATTTTCATCTCTTGTTGAACAATTGGGTTAAGCCTTTCCCTTTTCAGAAGCAGAGTCTGTCACGAAGCCACATCTTGATATTCTTGTGTATCCCATAACAGTGCCTCCAATTGTGGTCTTTTTTTCCAAAAGTAACTGAATAAAATCCAGTTGTCCCATTATAGGGCTTGAACTCATGTTCCCTGCTTCACTAATGCTGCACTTTAAACACCAACTTAATCCGCAATGGGCGTCAGATTCCACATCCACAGCTCTTCGCCACCTTATTGGGATTGATGGAAGATGCAAGGTGTGAAGCTGCCTCGTGTTGGGAATGTGCTCACAGGAAGTCTACATTTTAAAAACTGTGGGTGCATTTTCCTGCCTAATTAGAACAGGATAATTTTTTTTTTTTTAAGATTTACTCTTTCTGAAAAGAGAAGTGGTTAGACACCGTGCAAAGGAATGTTGTACACAAATGCTCAGGATGCTGAAGGTAATAGTCAACACATAATTCCCCCTTAGGCTGTTTTTATTTTAACGTTTATATATGCAGAAACCCTGCAGCTCTTTCGTTTTAACTATCAATTTTTCTTTCACAGAAGAATTGTGTCAAGGCGGCCTGGTATTGTCTGGGAAAAATGGCTGACTGTGCTCTCCCAGGTCTCCCCCCTCAGCCCCCACTCTCACTCTTGTGTTACAATGTGAGTTCTTCGCTGTCAAATCAAAACAGACTAACAAGGCATTTAGTAGAACATTAAGGCCAATGAAGGTGTTTTTCCTAAATTGGAATTTCCTTAGCTCTTAACTTGTTGATCAGCTGTTCAGATAACCCAGGAAAATTCCTGCTTCTGGTTTTAAAAAAATAATATCTTAGGGCTTTAATTCTTTAGGTTATCAGTGAGATTGATAAGACAGTTGCTGATTCTCCTTTTCGTTTTGCTTTTGAGGCTCAGAGTCAGCCTCACTTTATCTATGTAAGGAGTGCAGGATGGCAGTAGATTTTTTGGCTAAAATGCTGTAACTAATTCCTTCCATTCTCTATTCCTCACTGTGGAGCATGTGCAGATTTTGAGTCTTAATTATACGACTTTCCATAAAGTTTTACGCTTTTACTATTTGAAGGTTAAAACATACCAATACTGAGAGTAACAAACCTGGTGGAATAATCTTAAGTGGTTTCATTTTCCTGGCTAGAAACATACAGATCAAAAACTCAACACTAATTTCTTGGAAATTTATTTTTAATGAGTGAACTACCTTCTCTCCTCCCATTTTCTTCTGGTTAGTGTAAAGGAACACAGGGAGGAGAAATGACATGAGGAAGGAATTACAAGCATGCCCATATATTTTTCTGCCTCATTATATTTCTAACAAGAAAAGGAGCTATTTTCTAGAGGTCAATAACTCCTTTTGGCTCTTCCATATTACTTTACGCTGAGAATTTTTCCTATGCATATATTATTTTGTACCAACATTTTTAGCACAGTCTTACAAATCTTAATTTCTTCACTACGGTGGGTTCCGTGTTGTACATATGACACCCGCCAAGTCTTTATTGTTGACAGAAACAACAAGACATTAAATAATTGAACCAAAGAAACAGAGCAAGGGGAAGGCTTTCTGATTTTGTAAATACCCCTCGTAAAATGAAATCACCTTCCTGCCTTCCATTTCTTCTGGCTAGTATGGAGGGACACAGGAAGAAGAAATGGCAAGAGCAGGTGCACCGAACTTAAGCATGTTACCAGATCCAAGCTGTCCCAAATGGTCTTGTTAGAACCAGACTAATGGTCACAATCAGCAGTGCCTCACAGCCAAGATTAAATTCCTGAAAAGGATATGTGCAGAACCCGCTTGGGGGTAATATTAGTCCAAATTGTTTCAAGGACACAATCAAGCAGAACACATCCTCCACACCTCGAAGCCCAGTATTCTGATTCCCAGCCTAGGAGGTGCCACAGGTTCATCCTGTCCTGATTCTCAGAATCTTCCATTAAGCCTGAATTCTTTGAAAAGAGATAGATGCAGATCTAAATGACCAATAATTGTCCTGGTTTGCAAGGTCATAGCTGCCCACAGGGAGTGGGCATGGAGTTTCTGTGTGTGGGTGTGGAGGGAAAGAGGAACCCAGTTCCAATGAAAGGCAAAATAAACATTTATAGAGATGATTAACTGTTTTATAATGGCCAGTGTAAATGCCACTTGGTCCAGGAAGTGATGATCTCAGCTGGAAGTGTTCTCTCCCTCTTTACTGTACTCTTACCACATTTACATCTTGAATCTCCTACAAGGCAATGATGCACTCACTGCCTGGAGGTATAGCTTGTCAGCCATGGAGAACTTTTCCCATTCTACCCTGTCCGACAGTGCGTTCCCTGCAGCATTCATCTACCCAGCAATATGCATTTCAGATTAATGTGTAAATTAATAACGGTTCAGTTCGCTCAGAGTTAGTCTGGTTGATGAAAGCCACAAATAACCCAACACTTAGAGTACAGAATTTTTAGCCCCAAGAACCATGACTACAGCTATAAGCAACTCTGTCACTTACTAGCTCTAACCCTGGGAGATTATTTTAACCTCTCTAAGCACTGGTGGTTTTCTTTTTTGTTTTCTTCCTTTTCAAAAATATCTACACAGTCCCTGGCACACATTTAAACACTCCTGATAATGTTTTCACATGATCTCGCCCTTGACAAGGTAAGTGAAATCCAAGTTATTTATTGGCACTTAAGTGCCTGTTCAGTTCTCCCTTCCTTCCTGCAACATGTCTGCTCATGTCCAGTATCAAGTTCATGGACATTTATTGAGCCCTCCCCCCAGGGACAACTGTGACTTGGGCACCATGGATGGGGATGCAGATAAATACACCTGCCACTTTTTTTGTTTTTGTTTTTTTAACATCTTTATTGGGGTATAATTGCTTTACAATGGTGTGTTAGTTTCTGCTTTATAACAAAGTGAATCAGTTACACATATACATATGTTCCCATATCTCTTCCCTCTTGCGTCTCCCTCCCTCCCACCCACCCTATCCCACCCCTCCAGGCGGTCACAAAGCACCGAGCTGATATCCCTGTGCTATGCGGCTGCTTCCCACTAACTATCTACCTTACATTTGTAGTGTATATATGTCCATGCCTCTATCTCGCTTTGTCACAGCTCACCCTTCCCCCTCCCCATATCCTCAAGTCCTTTCTCCAGTAGGTCTGTGTCTTTATTCCTGTCTTACCCTTAGGTTCTTCATGACATTTTTTTCCCTTAAATTCCATATATATGTGTTAGCATACGGTATTTGTCTTTCTCTTTCTGACTTACTTCACTCTGTATGACAGACTCTAGGTCTATCCAGCTCATTACAAATAGCTCAATTTCGTTTCTTTTTATGGCTGAGTAATACTCCATTGTATATATGTGCCACATCTTCTTTATCCATTCATCTGATGATGGGCACTTAGTTTTTTTCCATCTCTGGGCTATTGTAAATAGAGCTGCAATGAACATTTTGGTACATGACTCTTTTTGAACTATGGTTTTCTCAGGGTATATGCCCAGTAGTGGGATTGCTGGATCATATGGTAGTTATATTTGTAGTTTTTTAAGGAACCTCCATACTGTTCTCCATAGTGGCTGTACCAATTCACATTCCCACCAGCCACTTTTTGATGTCTATCCATGGGCCAAACATTGTGCATCCATCTTTAATCCACACAGTAAGGCTCACTCTACAGTTTACCAGGCCAGAGTGTATGTAGGACAACAGTTTTTAGTGGTTCTTCCCCGTGCACAGGCTAGGGATTGTTTATGTGTGGAGGTCATTCTAGAGTTATAAAGTGGCAAAACTACAGCAACAACAAAAGGTAGTTAAAATTAGTGACATCAACAGAGAGTAAATGAACATCTAGAATATAAAATAAATTATAAAAATATCTGCACCAGCTCTTGAGTATTTTGCAATTGATTATATTATGAGCCATGATAATAGTTAATGTAAACTAAATTTACATGGTCTTGTAACATCTTTATTTTTCATTATGAGGACCTATAGCAGAGCCTTAGGGAATGCTCACATATAGAGGGTGGGCAAAAGTGGGAGCCCTTAGAGAGAGAGAAGGCAGTGGGAGAATTCAAAATTAGAAGTTAAGGTGGAGAGTTTTAAGGTGGCCAACTGGTGAGCAGAGTCAACTGCTGTCCACGAGTCAGGAGTTAGCCCTTGATGATGATGGTTTCAGTTAGGTAGTAAGGTTTAGACCCGACAAAAGGAGTTAAAGAAGAAATTGAAAGCAGTGACTTTCCATTTCTAGAGTTTTCCAGCGTAAGCAAGAGGAAGAGATATGAGTAGAAGGGGTGAGGGGCTGGGAGGGTGTTTTTCAGAGTGGAATATGGTACTTGTTTGTTCTAGTGGAAGAGGGCCCAGAGGGAAAAAGAACAGTTAAGAATACTAAAATGGTAACAGAGGCTGACCTTGGGTGGTAGGGATATAGGCAACTTTTTTCTATTTTTTTAAATGGTTCATTTTTTTTCCTAACGAGGAGAATAAAAATATATTTAAAAAAGAGAAAATGCTTTTTTAAAAAGGGATTGCTTTTTTTAAAAAGATGAGAGGAGTTAAAAATACCTTCCATCCGGAGAAGGTCTATTTTCTCCTCTGAGATTTATTTTCTTCTCCTTGAGAAGAATGTGGGTAAAAAAAATACAGAGAAACTTTTAAGTGAGGAGAAGCGAGATCAGCTGAGTTCCTGCAGAACACAGTCTTCGCCTGCTTGTTAAAAGGCTTGGAAATTTGCCAAATATGAGTGACATGGGGTTTAGGAGTTTGGAAGAGGATAGGAAAGCTTTGTAATGGTCACTGTTAAAAATGCAGTAGAGATGCACAAATATTCTCTAGGGATAAGAAAGATTTTTCCAAAACAATTCAAACTTCTGGAAGAAAAAGGGGGCTAGAAGACAAGAGAAGAAAATAATCCAGTAAGTGTCAGCCCCAAGTTATCTTCCAAAACTGCTTCTCTCCAAATCCTTGTTAAGCCAAATAGTTCAAGTGTCTGTGTGGGATGTTAAAGCAGAGAATCAAAGCAGGAAATGTAGCACTGTATTTATTTTTTAAAAGTTAATTCCAACAGATCAATAACCACCACAATGTTTATTTCAAAATAGACTCTTTGATCTTTTGCTATTATGAAATGTGGTTCTTATTCTCTGCCAGTGCCTGGTGCCTGCCACTCCACATTGAATTAACTTCCCTTTTCTAAGCGTAGAAAACTCAATTATGCCTCATTTCTGCTTTGGAATCACTGTGAAGTAATATAAGGAGAGTGGAAACATCCACTTAGATTGATGAAAAAAATTTAAAAGGAATAGCCTCTCTATCCCCCAACCAATCCAGCTATATTAATTTGAAGGTCATTTGGAGAAAAGATTGGCCAATTTATACAAATATTAAATTTTAAAAGAAATGGAAGTTAAAAGGGATTCCTATATTTTTACCACACTTCTGTGATCTCTTCAAAGCTTTTAGGTAGTAGAGTGAAGGGGTTTGAATACATTTGGCTTTTCTTCTTCCCACTTTCCTTTCTTGATTTTAATGGTGTCTCTGTTTTAAAGGGAAGATGGAGTGTATCTGTCTAGTCAATGTCGGGCTGTGTAGCTAGTGGAACAACGGTAAACACCGTGAATGCTGTGAGTAGTGTTATTAAGTTGGAGTAATGCCAATGAAATTGTGGGCTATGTTCACTGCCATAACATCGTGAATATTCAGAATTATAGCTTCCCTCCATGCCTAAATTGATAGAAGTATGTTGGTGCGTGGTTAGGGACTGCAGAAGTCCTGTCAGCACTATTAATTTATGGACTGGAGAAAAATTGCTTGACGTGCATTAAATAGGAGTATCTGGTCAAGTATTCATTCCTCCACCAGGGATCAGACCTCTGCTCCTCTTTTAGACCTTGAAGGGACAATATCTTGGAGAAGAAACCTTTAGGCTTAATAGTCTGCCTTGAACTTAGCCTCTTCTTGAGGGAAATGTCGCCACTTGTATCTCCCTGCTTAGGAAATAGCCCTCAGGATATTTCCTGAGCAGGTGAGCATCCAGGGATCATAATTAATTGGATCAGCAATGCTCACCTGACCCAAGGACAGCAAGTGAACAGGTATTTTTAACCACACTTCTGTGTGATGAGGTGGCTGGTGCCATTTTATAAGATACGGCCTGTTTCTCCAATGATGTCCCGATATGTGGCCTTATCTTCATTTTTTAAGCATCCTGCCAGTAAGCAATATTATGCTCCATACACGAGAGAGTGAAAACAATTCCTATTCACAAACCAAGTCTCTGAGTACTCTTATGATCTTCAATGAGTCACTGAAGGGGGGAGTTCTACAGAGGAGGGATGGTGCTATACACTTGAGGAATAGCCATCCTCTGGAGGAAAAGAGTGGAATCCGTAATCATGACTCACTTCTGGGTCTTGGCTGGTTTCTCCGCCTTCTCAGTGTATGGAATGACAAGGTCAGCAGCAGTCTCCGGCTTCTGGAGGAGAATTCCCAACTTAATCTTAATCTCCTTGGCCCTGAAAGAAGAGATGTATGAGGGGAAATGGACAGCATATTAGCATAAAGATCTAAAAAAGGGATTTCATTCTGTGTCAAAGAAACAAAAATGAGCAAAACCCCATTTCACTGTTGTGGCAGAAAGAATACTAATGTAGAAATTGGGACACGTGAGTTCTAATAACATTTATCAAGCTCTTAACATGTCCCTGGCTAATATGCATTATCTCATTTTAATCTTAATTATTGTTTTATATGTATTCTTTCATGTTATATATGGCAGATACTATAGTAGGCCTATTTTACAGGTGAAGAAACTAATGACAGAGAATTCAAATAACTTACTTAAGGTAACCCAGCCAGTATGTGATGGAAATGGACTTGACCCCAAGCTGTCTGACTTTAAGTTCACAGGTGGAACTCACTGTATTGCCTACCAGTCTTCTGAGGGCTATGGTCCCAGCTCTGCCATTAATTAGACGTATAACGTTTGAAAAAATAATCATGTTTTATTGCCAGACCTCCGTTCCCTCATCTGCAAGATGACAGAGTTAACCTAGATGTTTTTTTCAGCCATTTGCACCTATAAAATTAAATTATTCTGCTTGATGATTACTTCTCTGTAAACTGTTCTTCTTTTATATGGATTTGATTTTTTTCCAACTCCTTGCCCATTGTTCCACAATGGCTATTGTATTATCTTACATGCAGTAAGCCTTCAATAGATGAGTATTAATTACCAACAGACTGACAGAATCGTACTACTCCTTTCCATCTTCAACATTTTAGTGAACAGACATGGTAAGAATTCCGGGCATTTCTCCACCCTAGAATGCAACTGTTTTCATGCCCAGTTCAAAACTAATCTCCTAAGTTACCCATCATTTTATCACAAGTCTGAATTCAAAAACACCAAGCAAATCTTAAGCATTAATCCATAAGACAAGCCATTGTATACTGAGAGACCCAAAAAGCTGTCCTTTCACTGTCCCCTTGGCACTTCATGAATGCTTTTAAGATAGGGCTTATCATATTGCATTATGGTTACTGATTTATGTGTCTGTTTTCCAAGCTGGATATAAGAACTTTTCGCAGGTGGGAATTGAGTCTTAAATAGCTATTCAACCCTGTGCATAGCACAAAGCTTGGCAGCATAGTCAATATTCAAAACTATTTGCCAAAGTGAACTAAAAATTTCTTGATTTTTGTTCCTCACAAATCTGCCGACATTTATTTCCCAGTCAATGCTGATCATAACCAAAGCCTTACAGAGCTGCGTCGGGATTAGGATATCATGCTGTTGCCAGATAGAGTTTTGCTACTATAAACACACTTTCCTCATCCATTCACACGGAGACAGTGATGAGACAATTTAAATAAATAAAATGTGTGACATTAGCAATTATGGATATTAGGGAGAAAAAGTTAAGGACATATACTGTATAACTTAAAAAAACATAAATATTCAATCATATCATAGGTTCCTTTAGTATAGTAGATGTTACTTTGAAACTCTGATTTAGAATTAGTAGCCTCCACAATGTCTTTTCCTTTTTGTTTCTTCCTGCCTCTGTTCTCCCCCTAGAGCCCACTCTCCAGCTTAAGACAACTCAGGTACCACATTACAGCAGATCAAGCTCCGCTGAGCACATTACAGCTGAAACAGAACGTTCTGCCGAGGGAGCTTATATAAAACATGAGAATAAGAATAAGTGTACTTTGATTCCAGGCTCTGCAATTTGCTTAAACTATCTAAAGTTAAGTTTTCTCACCTAGAAAGTGGGACTGATAAAATAGTACATACTTAAACAATTTTTGTGATGATTAAATATGTTAATGCATGTGAATCACTTAAAGCAGCAGTTGGCATATAATACTGCTTCTTCCAAGTTAGTTCTAACTGCATAATAATTTTTTTCCAGCCAAACTCAAGCCATGTTCCCTAGCTTTGACTACCAAATTAAAACATTCAGAAATTTCCCACATGTTACTAAGAATTAATACACCCACTGCCTCCCATATTCTACCTCTGGAGACAAGAACTGCCAACTTTATATTTATCTGAAGGATGAAGAAAACAGTATTTGGGGGGAAAAAAATGCATGCAATACGTGTGGCTACCCTCTACTGGCCAGTGTATAGTACTACAGCCAGAAGCAGCAGGTTCATCTTTTCCATCAAGACGCGCTGTCCCACCCAGAACTTGAAGAACTCCATCCATAATTCCTCTTCTGCTTGCTCTACATGCCCCTCAGTTCCTGCCCATAAGGGGAAGTCGTGAAGCAACTGTTTGAGTTTCACTTGACCTAATAGTTCACTCACCAATATTTAGCTAAAGATCATCTAATGAATGTCTAATGAATCTTTCTCCTGTGCTTGGTATTTTGGTTGGTTCTTTAGATTTTTGTTTTGCATTTTTTTTCCCCATCTCAACTTCTTTTTCTTTTTTCTTTGCCTCTTTTGCTCCATTTGAGCCATTTGCTTTTGTAAAAGGCAGAGAGATATTTGTGTTTGATTGCCTAGTGAAAGAGTAAGTTGGACATGAACAGGTTATTAGAATGAAGGGGTTGAACATTTTAAAATTTCATTTATTCATACTACTTTACTCCTTGATCATGTTACTGTGTCATCAGTACACAGTAAACAGACAAACACTCACAGGGCTTTGTCTTTGCCTGCAGGGTACTTATAGCCTATTGAAGTCACAAGCTTGTGAACAATCACAAGCAGGTATTAAAGAAGATGTCCAGAAAGCAGCATCTCTCTGGGCATCCAGTGTCCACAAAGGTGAACAGCAGAGCACTGGGGGAGGACCCCAATGTCCACAAGCGTGAATCAGTGGGGCTTCTCAGAAGAGGCAGGGGTAGAATAGCAGTTAGCCAGGTAGACAAGAAAAGGCTGGGACTTCCAGGTAGGAAGAGGATAATGTGCATATCATTTGAAGGGATGCAAAAGTGGTTCTGCATTGCCTGAGTGTAAAGTGTGACTGGAGAGAGAAGAATGCCATGTTAGATGAAGCCTGCTCACTCTGCCTCCCCTTCCTGATGGAAGGGTGGATGATGGAGGACCTCCGTATAGTATGCAGCCTTCAGCAAATTTGGTATGAAAACCAAAGAAAGGCAAAACTATTGAAAGGTGCCTTCAAAGACTGTCTCTACATGAAGAAGTGGCATCCTGTCTTACAAATCTGTTTCAAATTTTTCTTTTGCTAATTCTTTCAGGATGCATTTTCCCATGAAAACACTGTCTATAAATGGTGGTTAAATTCTCCAAGACATCCCACAAAAGACTTTTAAAACCAGAATGAACCAGAATCCTCGTATAATTTTATCTTTATCACTATTTAAATTGTCTTTTTGTGGGATAATCTAGAAATCAACTGCTGGGCTTCCCTGGTGGCGCAGTGGTTGGGAGTTCGCCTGCCGATGCAGGGGACGTGGGTTCGTGCCCCGGTCTGGGAGGATCCCACGTGCCGCGGAGCGGCTGGGCCCGTGAGCCGTGGCCGCTGGGCCTGCGCGTCCGGGGCCTGTGCTCCGCAGCGGGAGAGGCCACAACAGTGAGAGGCCCACGTACAGTAGAAATCAACTGCTATTTATAACACTGCCCATAGAAAATCAGATTTCACTTCCTCAAAGTAGAGAAACATGCCAGAACATCAGATTACTCTTTTCCTCATACTTGCCCTGGGGATGTAAGGGAGAAAGGAAATGCAATGCTTCAGAAAATACTTCTCTCTATGGTTTAGTATAGGCTCAAACATAGGACGTTAAAATGTTAGTGCACATAAGTCGGGAAGACCATTCAGTTGAATTAGGAGTTTGACAGCATACAGGGAGTGAATAACATGATTGTTTCTCTTATAAAACAGTGAATGTTTAAAAGCTGAAGAGTTGACCAGTGCTGAGATTGAAACTACTTGAAACATTTTACTCTTTCCGTAGGAATAAATTGTGTTACTACATTTGTTTTTCTCCTTAAGAGTTCCTGGAATAATATTTCATTCCCCCTCTCCCCTTCCTCCCCACCATAGGGACATATCCAAATATGGGAATGAAAAAACAACAACAACAAATGGAAAATCAAGCAAAACAAAAGCTCAAAGCTTCCATTTTATTTTCTCCGTTAAAAATAAGCTTGAATGTATCTGACATTCATTTAATATCAAAAACAACCCCATCCAGAGAAGAAAATTTTTTATGTGTTTACGATTTCAACTCAGTCCTTGGTTCTGTTTGACCACCCACCAGGCAGTTTTCCTGGCTACATTACATTAATGCTCGTTAAGAAGAAACGATTCGTATCTCTTCTCATCTCACCCCCAACCTTGTTATCCTTTGGTTTTACAAAGAAAAACTTGTTTTGAAATAAAATCATTTGAAATGCCTGGGTGAAATTTTAATTAAGGGTTCAGAGGAAGATAATCCTTTCACTAAATGGCTCATGTTAGTGATTTCAAACTGAAAAGAGTTTGAATAATTGTAGGGTTGTGCAATTTTAAATCTGTGCCTTGTGTGGGTATGCTTTCAAAAGGCCCTGGACCACCTCTGTCCTTCCAATTAATTGGTGAATTGAGTGAAAGTTATTACCTTAGGGTGAATAAGTGTGGAAAACAGTACAAGCAATCACTAAAACAAAAACATAGCAGAATTTTTAAAAATACAATTATATTCAAGTAAAATTTATCAGTAACCAGCTATATATAAAGTCCTGTGCTAGGTGTTTCAAGAATTACAAAGATGTTCCTTGCTTCAGAGACATGTGGAACAAGGGAATGTAGGACATATACATGTAAACTATATGCTAGATATTTTTCTACTCATTGATAAAAGTGGAGGGGATATATTAATAAAAGAACATAGACCCTAGCCTCAAGGAACTCAAACGTGATAACATGAAGATAGTGTAATAGGAGACACATGCTTTAACAGCTGCCCCTACTATATTCTCAGAGGCCTCTGTATTTTTCCTTCCTGGTCCTTATCAATTTGCATTATGTCTCTGTGTATTTATTTGAGTCCTG